GGCTCAACTCGACGTGGGTCTGGGCGGGAGACTGCGAGTCTGCAATCAGCACCGGGCCGCCGAGCTCGAATCTCCCCCCATCTCTGCCCACATCTCCCCATAGGCGAGTCGGCAATCGAGCATTGGGCCGCCGAGCTCGCCGTGCCGCGCGCTGCTCTCTGCTCCGCCAACCTCTCTCTCGCCGTCCAGCTCCTCGAGGCCGACCTCCAGAGCGCTGCTCTCGGCGACCATGGCGGCGGGGCGGCGCTGGGGGTCGTGCCCCCCTCCCCGCTCGCTGGAGTGTGGCAGGGAGTGCGGCAGGCTCTCCTGGGGCGGAGGCGGAGGAGGCTGGCCGACAACCGGTTCGACGCGAGGGCCACAAACTCCTCCTCCTCCGCCGCCGCCCCATGGGAAGGGCTGCCCCTCGCTGACGGCCTCTCCCCCGCCTCGCCCCTCGGCGCCGCGTGCGCGCTCACCTGCTCGCAAGTGGGCGCCGGGCCGTGTGTGCCGGGCTGGGAGCCACACCCTGTGACGGAGGTGGGGGGCTGCCACCCGGCGGACTCGCCGCCGAGGAGGCGCCTCTTCCTCTCCCCGTCTCTCGCCACTCTCTCCCCATCTCTCACCATAGGCGGGATCGACCCTGGAGGGGGAGGGCGGCGCGAGGCTGCCCATCGAGACCGCCCCCGTCGGAACCCTCATCCGCACGCCCACCGGCTTCGAGCCCATCCTCGGCTACCTGCACGCCGAGGTCTAACCCTAACCCTAACCCTAACCCTAACCCTAACCCTAACCCTAACCCTAACCCTAACCCTAACCCTAACCCTAACCCTAACCCTCGGCTACCTGCACGCCGAGGACTCGCCGGCGACGTACCTCCGCTTCTCGACGTCGAGCGGCGAGGCGGTCTCCATCAGCAAGCTGCACCACCTCCTCGTCAACGGCGCCTCCGCCGACCCGCTCGACGTGCGGCTGGGCGACGTGCTGCAGACGCCGCGAGGAGGAGCCGCCGTCACGCGCATCGAGGCGGTGCAGGCGCGCGGCGCGTACCACCCCTTTGTGCGCGGAGGCACCTACTACGTGGACGGCATCGCCGCGACCGACTACGTGGCCCTCGTGCCCGCCGCCGCGTGGCCGGCCGTGCGGGCCTACGTCGGCGCGCGCTTCCGGCTCGGCGCGCCCATCGTGCCCGTCGGTAGAGGCCTCTTCCCCAACCACGCGTGGGCGGTCAGCCTGCTCTCCTGGCTCGGTGTGCCGCTGGCGCTCTCGCGCGGCCTCTTCCCGGTCACGATGGCGTGCGGGATCGGCACCGAGCTGGTCAACGCGCTGGCAGCGTGGGCGTGTTCATTCTCTTTGCTCGGCTGTGAGTGAATGCGCCTAAATAAATAAATAAAAGCGGACACCTCTCTACTGTGAGATGGGACGGTAAAAAGGAACAGGCCCCCGCCCTTGCGATCTTTGTGCAGGGTTCTTTGTGGGTGTGGTCGGCGACTAGCCGGGGTCGTCCTCCCGATGGGGGGCTAGCACTAGCCGTCTTCCACATGGTCCCTCGGGTCCCTGCTGCTCCTAATCTCTTCGTACATCCTCCTGCTGATCTCCGCAAAGTCCTGCTCCCTCCCTCGTCTCGCCCTGCGCGTATCTGCTGCGCCTCACCGTCATCTGCCCTGCGTCGTCTGGCGACGGGTCCTCCATAGTCGGTCGAGGTCGCCGCCCTCCTCGTGCCTCTTCCCAACGTTCCCTCGGCGGCCTGAATGCGCCTGGCCGCGTTTATTTTGTAAAAAAATCTCTGACTTGCCAAGCAACGGTATCTACCGGTTCTGGCGCGCACTGGGCAGGCTTGGTGAGTTCCCTCTCCTCACTGTTCCTCACTCACCGCTCGCTTGCTTTTTTTTCGCTCCAGCCCTCCGGCTTACATAGTGTAGACCGGAGGCGGCTACGAAGCCTTCCACACTCCAAGCACCAAGGCCCCGTTGCCACAGGGGCTGCTCGCGACTACGGCTTTATACCCCCCGCGCGAGGACGTCTCTCCCGCGAGGACACCTCCGCTTCCCCGTGTGAGGACCTCTCTGGGACAGAGCCTCTGCGCTTCAGGAGTGCCGATGGGACGCTACTTGCTCGCCGCGTAAAGCCGTACTGGTGGTGTCGCTTTATTCCTCGTCCCTAGAAAGCCATGCGCACGGCGAGTGAATCTCGATGGGTCGGACAAAGAACAATCACCCACGGCGCCACTCGCTGAAGAACCCGTCCACAAAGCTCCGCACCCCTTCGCGCTCCCTGTAGAAGATAATGAGCGAGTACCGCACACCGCTGCGCATTCGGGTGACGCCGTGGAGGAGCCCCTTGGCGTGCACGGTCACCTCGCCCTCCTCCCGCTCCACAAGCTGCACAGCGTTAGCAAAGAGGCCCAACAGCCGTCCGCCCTCATGGCAGCAATCACCTTGAGTCGGATAGTGCTCGAGCTTAGCGTAGACGGAGTGTGCATGTGAGAGGCGGCTGTCAGGCGCGCGCGGGGCACCTGCGAGTGCCACGTTGGCAGTGAGCGGAGGCACGTCGTGGTGGAACATAAACCAAGGCCTCGTGTCCGCTGTGTATCGCCTCACGAACACTGAGGAGACGCGTAGAGCGCTCGCACGTCCTCCCAGCCCCTTGGCGCGAGGTTTCAAGCGAGCGAATTCCGTAGGCAGCTGTTTCAGCCGCGTGACCGCTTCATGGCCAATCAAACTTGTCAAGGCGTCCAGGTCTCGAAAGTCTAGCTGGTGCTCTGCAAGGCCGTCCACGCTGTCGGGACTACTGCCAGCGGCCTTGTCTACTGCGGCTCGCAGCGCAGCGCAGCTTCCATGGTCAAGTATTGACTGCCGACGCAGCAGCGCACTGTCCTCGGAAAGGGAGAGTGAGGCTACAGCTTCTCGAAACTGATCTTCTGCGAAATGTAGAGAATGAACCACGGCTCCAGCAGGCACAGAGGAAGGTGGCGCGTTGTGCGCTAGGAGCCGGCGTACTGGCATTTCCATTGCCAGCGCCTGTGAGACATATTTGTCAGAGACGCCTGTCAGCGTGTCCTCGGCGACGAGGGCGGCATCCGTGCTGTCTGCCGAGAGCCTTTGTGCGGCGGCAAAGTTGCCCATCGCGTGCGCAAGCTGGTGTGGTGTCGTGCCAGCTGCGCACCTCGCTTCGCGATTAGCACCGTGCTCACACAGCACCTTGACTGCAGGCTCGTGACCAGCCCATGCAGCCACGTGAAGCGCCGTTCGACCTCGACTGTCTGCGGCTTCCAACGCAGCACCAGCTTGCAAAAGCAGCTGCACAATGTCCGCCCTGCCCTTGTGGGCTGCCAATATTAGATGGGTGCAGCCCGTGCGTCCAACGGCGCTGGGATCCACGGAAAGCGCCAGCAACCGCCTGACCGCCTGACTCTCGCAGGCCGGCTACGTAAGATTTCACAACAGGGAATTTTACCACGCACTCGCGCAACCCTGGGCACGGGACTGGCGCGCACTGGCACTAACATAGGTGAGCTCACTAACATAGGTGTTTGTAGTGGTGCCGCTCAAGTTTCGGCATGGATTTCTTTTTCTGGCTCTCAGTCTGAGTGTGAGTGAGGGTATTTCAGTGTATGTAGCTCTTACGTACGTACCCGAAGGTGAACTGCTGACAGGTTTTGCGATGAGGAGCGATCCGACCGAACGTGGTATTCGGGTGATCAGATCACTACCACCGAAACGCAAGAGCACTGCGACGCATCGGGCTCATGCTAGCATCCACCTCGCGGGCCGATGAGCGATGTTCTGTCTCGAGAATTTTAAACAAAACGCAAGGTATCGCGATACACAAAACTACTCAAGCTGACAGCAGACAGGCTCGACACAGGTGCGAACTGGCGCGTGCTAGCACTATCACAGGCACACCACCGGAGCCGCCTAAGCGACTCCGTTAAGAACGGCAATGCACTCGGCCTTGTCCGAGTCGACCGCGCCCGCGTGCTTCTCACACTCCGGAAACTCCTTGGTCGAGACGGTCCAGTCGGCGTCGCCCTACGCGACGAAAAAGCCGGGTCAGAGAGGCGTCTGTAGACGCACGGTGCAGAATGCAAGGCACTCGCCGCCGGGGCGGGCGTCTCCTCCGGAAACTCGTTGATCGTCGACAGCGGCGCGCCGCCGGGCGCCGCCGGCTTTAGGGACGTGGCGACCTTGGTGACCGGCTTGAGCGCCGGATCGTTCTTGATGACGCTGGTCTCGTCAAAGGAGGCCTCCGCGCCAGACTTTGCCGCGGAGATGTCTCTCTTGATTTCGCCCTCGATGGCGCCGGTGGGGGCCGTCGGTGGGTCGCTCGGGCGCGCAAGCTTGGACCAGAAGACGGCGTTCGGGCTCGGCTCGTGGGCGGCAAACGTGGCCTTGGCCCGGTCCGAGTCGACCGTCTCCGCGGCGGCCGCGTCTTCCGCGGCCAGGTCTTTCTTGAGGATGCTCTCGTCGAGGGGCGCCTCCGCGCCGGACTCGGCCACGGTGACGGCCACGGTGACGGCCTCAACGGGTGCGTTCTTGGCGCCGCTCGCCTGTTGGCGGGGGAATGGGGAGCGTGTTGGGAGGAGAAAGGAGATCTGCGACACGCGCACACGCACCGCCTTTGCTCCGAGGAGCGGAGGTGACGTCGGCGCGGAGAAGAAGACGACCTTGATGCTGCCGTCTTCGGCCGGCATGATGCGGGCCTTCACTTCCGTCTTGTTCTCTGACATGTTGATCGAGTTCACTCGTACCTATGATCGGGGGCGGTGGATGGCGGGTGTGTGATATTCACGGTTGCGTGGGAGGGGGGGGGGGCTCCAAATTTAGGTCAAATTTCGTCAATTAAACTTAATTGACGAAACTTGATGACAATCTCGGGCAATCTCGGGTGGCGCATCGGAACGAGCGATGAAGCGACTCCACAAAGAGGTGCGGAAGTGTCATGCCGGTCTCGGAAGCGATCTCGGGTAATCTCGGGCAAATATTAAGCTAATTGACGAAATCTCGGGGTGATAACGTCAATTTAGTCAACTCGTGGCCCCCGGGCGCCTTCCCCCGCAATGATTACCCAGAGCATTTCCACGAATTTCGTCAAAGTTCCGTCAATTATGTTAATTGACGAAATATCTGAATCTCGGCCTATCTCGGCTAATCTCCTGCTCTGATTGCTGCACATCGTGTTCCGGGCCACCGGTGCTGCTTCTCTCTGCTCTGAGAGCGTCTTTGAGGGGGGAATCGAGAGGAAGGGGGGCTCAAGAGGGCCGCACCTACTTGCAGCGCACGCAGCTTGAGGCCACGCGCCAAGGAAACCGCGGCACGCCCGTCTCGCCCACGTTGTTTTGGATGGATCTGCGAGGGCGCAGGAGGCGGCGAGCGAGCGTCAGCAGCATAAAATGGGACGAGCAAGGCGCGGGCTCGTTTTGGGGGTCGCGGGGGCGCAGTAGGCATGAAGGCGACCCGCGGCCGCGCGCTCAGCAGCGCTCCGACCGGCAATCCGATTGTGCCAGATTCGCCTGGATCGTCGGAGCGAGCCGCTCTCGCGGCGGTCGCAGCACGGCGTGCAGCCGGGCACGGGCTCGCTGCAGTGGTGGTTGTGGGGCGAGGCGAGAGGGCCCGCGCGGGGGCAGTTCTCATCTCGCGCTGCGTCGCGCCGGGCGAGGGGCGAGGCGAGAGGCAACCATGGCAAAAGGCACCTGTGCAATCTGCAATCTCTCTCTGCTGAATTACCTGCAGAACTAAACAAAACAATTCCGCGCTCACAGCAGACAGGCTCGACACAGGTGCGTGAAGAAACACCTCGGCAGCGTCACACGCACCCCAGAGGCGGAGAGCGGCGCCCGCGAGGCGCGGGCCGCAGTTGTTGCCGGCGGAGTTGGAACTGCTGTGTCAATTGACACATCGGATCCCACTCCGCTGGCAGAGGCGGCGCTGGTACGAGCGCCACCATGGAGGTTGACGCAGGCAGTGGCAAGGGGGCCGCTGCTGCGGGCGGGCGGAAGGCACCGCGTCGCCGCCGAGGGCGGCGCCGTGGCGCCAAGGATGGCCCAGCGAGGCTGCTGCTTGACACGAAATAGATAGATAGATATACGAAACCACGACGACACACACCAACCAGTCGACTCGCATCGGTTGCCTGCTTGCCTCCATGAACGGCGGAGCTATTCTCGCGTCCACACCACACCTGGCTCCAACGTGGACACGCCCATAGCTCTCACACACACGAATTGCTGGTCGTGAGGAAGGAAAAAAGACCTCCTGCCTCCAACCTCCTTCCTTTTTGAGCAGGTGTGACGCCGCGCGAGCGACGCTCCGAGATCGCCCGAGATAGCGCGGCGCGGCCCCGAGATCGCCTGAGATAGCGCGAGATCGCCCGAGATAGCGCGGCGCGGCCCCGAGATCGCCCGAGATAGCGCGAGATCGCCCGAGATCGCGCGGCGCGGCCCGGGGCGGGGTGGGTGGGTTGGGAGCGAGGGGGCGGAGGTGACCAGTGCGGTAGATCGGTCAGCTCGAGGCGCGTGAGCCGGACTTGTGAGCCGGACCACCCCCTCTTGTTCTCTGCGTTGTTGAGCCAGGACTCAACATACTCGGGCTGTCGCCGTCCCAAACTGTCACTCCCCTTTCTCCCGGCCGGGGTGGGGCGCGCGCGGGGGCGGCGGGTGTGCGGCGGGTGTGAGGGATGTCTGTGAGCCCGAGAGCGATATGCCATGTCCGCCTTGCGTTTGTTCATAACATCGAAGGCTAAGCTCAAAAAAAAGAAATCTGCGCGCCAGCACCCTTCTGATCTTGGAGCACTTGGAGGAGTGCAGTCAGTAACTCACATCCAGGGCCGGGAGCTGATTCGTAGCTTTCATCGATGCGTGCGGTACGCTCCAAGGCTTGCGGGGACGGTTTCTGCTATCCGTACCATCGCGTAGCTACCGCCGAGGAGAGCTACCACCTGGCAGTAGTCGTGGCTCTCTGCCTCACTTTCTCGGCAGCGCTGCTGGCGCCTCGCCTTGTGGCTGCTGCACTGCACTCAAGCTTGACCGCGCGGGCTCCTCAAAATTTAGTCACGATTGCGCTGACGGGTGGGCCTTGTGCAGGCAAAACCTCCGCACTGACAGCGCTTGAGGCCAGTGCAAAGTCCGCCGGGTTCCACCTGATGGTCACCACGGAGATAGCGACGCTTATGAGGGCGGGCGGCTGCGACGAGGCCATCACTCCGGCGCTTGCGTTTCAGACTTCGCTCGTCCGGCTGCAGGTTTAGTAGTAGTAGTAGTAGTACGAGAAGAAAAGCACCGCCCGGCGCGCCTCGTCCGCCGCTCGCTCTGCCTTCCGCCTGCTTGCCGCCTGCTCGCGCTTTCACACCCCCTTGGCCTCCATGAGAACACACGGACGGAACCGGCTCTGAGCCGAATGTCCTGCTGCAGGTCCAACTCGAGGACGCTCTGGCCGCCGTCGGCGCAGCGACGGATCTGCCTACGATCCTCATCACCGACCGTGGCGCGATGGACGCCAAGTCCTACATGTCCCCGCATACATGGAGTGCGGTGCTCGAGGCCATCGGCGCCACGGAAGAGAGCCTCTTGAGCCGATACGACGGGGTGATCCACCTTGTCACCGCCGCGGATGGGGCGCCACAGTCCTACAAATGGGGCAACGTGACGGACGACTCCGGGCATTGGGTGTATCGCAAGGAATCGCCCGAGGAGGCCATCGTCACTGACCGCAGGACACAGGTGCAAATGACTCTCCCTCTGCGTACCTGAATACGCCTCTCAAATGGTTTGTTTTCAGTCTTGATTTGCGCGAGCAGGCGGCGTGGGCTGCGCATCCGCGCCGCGTCATCATCCCGAATGCCGGCTCGTTCTCGAACAAGACGAAGCATGCGGCCATGGCGATGCTGATGATCGCCCACGAAACCCACCCAGGGCTGGCCTCGGCGCGGTAGTAAAATGACACCCCAAGGGAGGGGTGGGAGAACGGCACGCCGCCACCGCGCCAGCCTCTGCGATATGGCCGTGTGCAGAACGAGTTGAGATACGTAGCTTCTGTGCAGCGCGCCCTAGCCCTAGCGCCGCCTAGCCAAGCCTGACACAGAGCACACTGAAGCACACCGCAAGTGCTGAAGCTCGCGCGAGCCATGCCCCATGCGTGCACCGGTGTTTATCATCGTGATCAACCTGTTGACACTGTTCCGTGCGACCCTTAAATCCACTTTGACTTACTCTCTCTCAACTTACGGCTTTATTTCAAGAAAAAAAACCAAGAGAGTAGTAGGAAGGCGGGAGAATCCAAAAAAGAAAACCAAAGAAAAATCCGTACGTCGTCTCTAAAAAGCCTGCGATTCTTGACTGCGGATGCAGAGCTCGTGCCACAGAAACACAACGAGCGTGCCTCGAGTGCAGCAGCCCGGCCATCGGGCGACGAACGGCACGGGGAGCCGCCCCGGTCCTCTCGGTCCTCTCCTCAGGACAGACGGCCCTTTGAGTCGGCGGGCGGCGCGGCGCCGCTGCCCAGAGTGGCGCCGGTGCGCAAGTTGGTCCCTCCGACGGTGCGTCCTCGCGAGTAAAAGCCGCCGGGGTCGGGCAGGCCCACCAGCCCGCACTTGACCTCGGGCGGCGGCCCCTTCGCCGCGGGCGTGACGGAGCTGGCGTCGGCGCCATGCCCAGCCTCAAGGGCTGGGGCGAGCCGGAGCCTGGGCTCAAGGCGGCCGGCGTGCTCGAGAATTAGGCGCTTCTGCATGTGCGCCGCCGCAGAGAGCTCGGCCTCGCTCGTCGCCGAGAGGGTCCCCACCTCGAGCCACTCCTCGTCGGCCGCCGCGCGGGCCCAGGCGAGGGTGGTGGCGCCGCCGGCCGCGACCAGCGCGGTGTGGGAGTCCCACTGCCGTTTCGCAGAGAGGCCCGCGCTCTTTGCGGCCCGATTGGCTGCCTTGCTCGCCGCCTTGCCCGCTGGCTTACCCGCCTTCTTCCCCTTGGACGGCGAAGCGGCAGCGCCGCCGAAGCCCGCCATCACCGCAGGCGGCGCCGAGCGGCCGCTGCTGACGCGCAGCGACGCCGAGCGGCATGTGGGCGACAGGAGCGCGGCGGGAGCGAGAAGGGCAGATATGAGGTAGACGGACATGAGCCAGGCGTGGCGTGGCTGTCTCGCTCACCAACGCGTGGTTGAGCTCGCGGATTTGGGTCCTGTTTGGGTAGGGTAAGGCATGCTGTGGCGTGTGTACTTGTTACGTGAAAACCCGCTGGGACCCGGACGCCAGCACACACGGCTAGATTTCATGGCGGGCCGCCTAGGCCCTGGGGTCGGAGGCAGAGTCGGTGGGGGTGCCGCGTGCGGCGCGGGCTTCGCTGTCGGGGGCGTTTAGGGCGGGGTCGGGGAAGGAGGGTGGGGTCGGTCGCATTGGCGGCCGCGCGGCAGTGGCTGCGGGGGGGGCGGGAGGAGGTGGTGGCGCCGACCGCAATGGCGGCCGAGGACCCGACGTCGAGCGCCGGGCGAGATCGCGAGGGTCGAGGGTGAGCTCGAAGCCGAGGGCGGCGGCCGAGTTCTGGATGGTGAGGGCGTCGGCGGTGACGATGGCGGCGGAGATGGCGGCGGAGTGGAAGGTGTAGTGGCGTGTGGGCGGTCCAGCACAAAGACACAATGCTGAATCCGCACAAGAACTCTTGGATCCCATCGACATCGTCGGGTTCGCCGGCGACTCTTCACCTCTGCCCGAAAAGTGCCTCGGCGCGCTCGAGGTACAGCGCAAACGCCCTGTCGAGCCGCGCGGCGTCCTCCGCGTTCGGCTCGATGGCGGCGGACGTCGGCGCGTCGTGTCGCTCCGCGATCCACGCGCCGAGGTCGGCGGCGCCTACCGAAGGACGTGCTGTGGACGTTGTCGGAGCAACTCTCGGGCCGGCGTGCCGAAGTCGGCGACGGCCGCCCGCGTCAACGGCGGCCGCCTGCAGCGCCGCGCCGAGCGCGGCCGACTCGGGCTCCAACGGGCACGCGACGCGCGCGCCAAACGCGTTGGCAACGGTCTGGCGCCAGAGCGGCGACCGCGCACCGCCGCCGACGAGTCGCACCTCGAGGAGGGGAGGTGCGTTGAGGGCGGGGTGTGTGAGGGCGGGAGGTGCGAGGGCGGGGGGTGTGAGGGCGGGAGGTGTGAGGGCGGGAGG